AAAAAAAAAAAAAAAAAAAAAAGGGTAAAGTGAAGGCAAAAAAGTCCAAGAAAGTTTGAGAAGTTTAGAAGTGTAACTAAATGGCTCAGCAGGTGTCCAGGGTCCTCACTCCATAAACATCCTGAGCCTCTGCAAGACAAGGGCTCAGAGATGGTGTGAGTGCTACACCCACGCTAGGCTAGGTAGCCTGCATACAGTACAAGGGAGAAAAAGAGGATTGCTCCTCCGGCTCCTTGGCTCTTGTTGCTTTTGCTGCCTTTGGCTGCCTTGAACTGTTGCCCCTCTGCCACACCACAGATGATTTGGGACTGACACCTCTACACACTATGACCTAAACAAGCCACTGCTTCCTTAATTTTGGGTGAGAGATATTTTATAAATAAACAAATAATTAATTAATTAGTTAATTAATGTAAGTTAACAAAGGAAGGAGACAGGGCAGCAAAGAAGAAAAACTTGGAAGTTTTGCCAAATGCCCTGTGCATTTATGGGACCCAGGAACTCTGCATTCATGATTCTCGAAGCTCTGAATGTTTAAGTCTTGACCCTGTTACAATCATCCTGACTTCCAAAAGCTGTTGAGAAAGTGCAAAACCTTCTGCCCATTCTTATGATAACCAATATTTGCAACTTACATACCTAAGACGCATTAGCCACTACTGGAGGCAAAGATGTCCTTAACAGTGACAGAAATCATAATTAATTCTACACCACTTTAGAATACATAATAGTTCTCACATTTTTTTAATTATTAATTTTATTGAGAAACAGCAATGAAAGTTTCAAAACTAATTAGCGGGACAGTTTCAATAATTAATACATTGCATATTGTTGTCTTTGTAGTAGTTATTCATAGTACAAGATGCAGACATGATATCCTGCCCAAACACTATTAGTACAAATCTTTCTTCTCATACAAGAAAAAAAAAAAAAATGTCGCAGGACTGTCCTGCTACAATGCTGTATATGGTTAGATTTCTAAATTTCTGTGTAAAAATAAATATGTTTATTCCTATTTAAAAATTTTTTTTCTTTGTATTCTGTGAGGACTTAAAAAGTTGAACACATCAATGCTTGATGGGGAATACTGTTCCACGTTATGCCTAGGATGTTTGATATTTAGACAGAGAGTTAGGGTAAACTGAACTGCGTATGTTGCAGGGTAATAATGGGCTTCTCTTCTGGAGGGTTGGCAACCTAAGTTTGCAGATCAAAAATTGGAGAAGGGGAAGGGCTGCAAAGTCAGCCAAAATCTTGGCCCTAGCCTTTCAAGGTTAGTGAAGACTAAGGACATAGGAGAGCCTGTGTTGTAACATCATGTAACTCAGTTGTGCCCCAAATTTTCTGATCAGAGAGATTGTGGAGTCACAGAGGAGTGTGACTGATGATGTATGGTGTGCCTAGGGAGAATCACATGGAGAGCAAACTCTCTCTCAGGCTTTCACAGAGAGCAAGTTGGTCAGGCAATGGCCGTGGTTCAACCACATGGCTGACACTGACAAGGGATCTGCAAGGTGTGGTACAGGGTTACAGGATAAATCCTGAGGGGACTTGACTGACCTTATAGGATACAAAAGTTAACATTTCTTTTTACATAGGTCTTGCTTTGTCTTGGTCTTATCCATCCAGCAGAAAAGTATAAAAACAAGGTATATAGGGTAAAGCCATGTTAATATGCTGAGCTATAAAAGGCTTTGGTCAACAACTTCTGCAGATAACCCACTACTATTTTGGACTGCTGGACTGTGTTGGATTGTTTCGCTGAATTTAAGCACCTATAGTATTTAGATGCCAATAGAGTGCCCATCTCTGGCAAGAATGAACAGAAAAAAGGAGATACAAAGGAAGGACCATTTTGTACTTTTATGTACAGAACGGTTGGGATAGATATACAGCTACTTTTGCTTAATTCATGGGGGCAGGGGGGTTGTAGTAATGGTGTTTGCCAGGATGTCCTGTCTGCCTCTTGTACTATGGATGACCACTAGGAAGATGGTAATGTACAATGTATTAATTGGTGGGGGTGTCCTGTTGATCAGCTTTGGGGCTGTCTCATTGATGTTTGCTTCTCAATAAAACAAAATAAAATAAAAAAGGAAGGAAAAGAAAAAAACAACAAAGCAAATCTTTCTGCTCATTGAATCAAGATAAAGTAGCTATATATCTATCCTAATTATTTTGTATATAGAGATACAAAATGGTCCTTCATTTATACCCCCTTTTTTTGTTTAGTTTTGTCACAGATGGGTATTCCATTGTCTACATTTAAATACTATAGGAGGATGAGGAGATGGCTCAGTGGAATAAGCGCTTACCTGGCAAGGGCCTGAGTTCAATCCCTGGTTCGGGAAAAAAATAAAAATGAAAAATAAATAAATGGTATAGGTGTGTGAATTCAGCAAAATAATCCAATATAGTCCAGTAGTCCATAATGGTAGTGAGTTATCCATAAGACTGGCAATGTCAGAAGTTGTTGACTTGAGCCTTTTACAGCTCAGCATATTAATATGGCTTTACTGTTTATACCTCGTTTTTATACTTCTGCTGGGTGATCTTGACAACAATGTTAAAAAAGTTATTTTGGCAGTTAACAGACAAAGAAACTGATAATTCAAAAAGTTAAATCATGAAGGTAGTAACAAAAATCAGGTCTTGATGCCAAATAGCAAGTTTCTCTTACATTGGTGCAGATACAATGGAAAATATTTTCAAATATATTTACATAGAAAATATTCTCACAGCAAATGGCAGTCTTAGCTTTACCAAAAATAGAAGGGGCCTCCAAGTCAGTAACATACAAGTCTATCTCGTGATTTCTAAGAAGGCTGAAGAGCATGTTAGACTACAGCCCGCCGTCTCCAAAGGTTTGTGCACTGAATTTATATGTGCATGGTCATAGCTGGCTGCACCTCACATTCCTTGAGTTCAAACACTACCAGTAACGACTTCCCTACTGGGGATGGAAATGACAACAGTAGTGGTGCCTAAGCTCTAGCCTAGAGGTCTGTAAAGATTTTTCTGAAAAGGGGCCATATGGTAAACAATTTATGTTTTGTGGCCAGTAAGTCTGTCTGGAAAATATTTAAATCTGCTATTACAGAAAGGAAGGAACCATAGATAATAGACAAATGAGTGTGGCTGTATCAAAATAAAACTTTACTTATAAAACATGCATTGCAAGTCACTATATGTCAAGTCCCTCTCTAGTCAACACTGAACCACAATGACAGGCTCAATTATGACTCTGTACTCTAATTCCTTCGCGGTCACACTCACACATATTCTATTATTCACAGCTGTTTTGACATCCACAAATTGATATGTGAATGTATGATAGAGATACACAAGTCATGATAGACAAATTCAGTAGCAAATGTTTAAATTTAAAAAAATTTTATTATAGTAAAAGACACATTGTCATTAATCACCCTCCCAATACTCCCCCTTGCTTTGAACACACTCATCCCCTCAGTCTTGACATTTTCTAAAGAAGTTCTGAAAATTCTCTTTCATGTGCTTAACTGCCTGTCCTCAGTGTCCTGAACCACTTCAAAACTTGTGCCTTTCATGGTCATTTTAAGTTTAGGGTTGAAAGCCACTGGGTGCCCACTCTGGTGAAACAAGGTGGATGAGGAAACACTACAAGGTTTCCATGGCTCTGCCCTTTCAGTTGGATGACACTAGACAGTGGCATTCACTGTGTTTTTTAATCACACTTTATAAAGATGCTTCCAGAACTGCTTCTGATGGAGGGGTATGTTGAGGGGAGTTAATGGCACTATGGCTTTTACTGTAATAAATGTTTTAAATTTAGACATTCATTGTACATTTTGATCACATTTCATAATCACTGTGGCCTTGACTATTTAATCTCTCTGTACATCAATTTCTTCATTCATTAGGTAGGAATAACCCTACTATCTAAATAAGCGTGCCTGGAACATATTAAGCACCCCCAAAGATTACATGTTACAATTATATGTAGCTCAATGTTATCACCAACTAGTAATTTAGAAAATAAAATGAGAATTGTTCGAGACACAAGAGATCTCATACATGCAGACACACACAGACGCGTCTATTAAAATCAGTATCACTTAGTGACCATCACTGAAGTGAAGGTAGATTCAAAGAACTTACCTTTTCTTTCCTCCACAATTTTTACAGAGATGACATTTTTATCCATGGGATTGGGATACTGAATGAAAACATATAAAGAAGAATTATCATTCATCTTTCACTAAAGGGAAATAGTAGCAACCATAGCTATTTGCAAGACCCATAAATATATATCAGGTAACTTCTATATAAAAACCAGTTTTAAATCAAGATCTTAATTTTGCCTTTAGGGCCTGGACAAGCAAGATGCCAGAACTTTTATGAAATCCTAACC